AACTACGTTTCGGAGCTGTTACAAAACAAACCCGATTAAAATTTCATATCATACAACAAAATTGGACTACTACATTCATTGAAATGCAGCATTTGAAGCTTTCAAAGAGGAAGAAAAATATTTACAAAGATTTAAATAATACAACACAAACATTATTTTAGAACAAATGAAATAGGATGAAAGAGATTTGGGTGAGCGTGTCAATGCTTCAACTATTTAATTTTCCTCCCTAAGAGAGTACTTATAATTTGTTCATTAAAGTAGACTAAGTTATATCTCGTGATATTGATCGCGTTGGTTTCAAACGGTTGATACTGCTCGAAGCTACATTGCCCGTTTTGAGATAGTATGTTTCTGATTATGATACAAAAGCTTAATACTAACAGGATTGATAGGACAAAAGCACATTTCTCTCTGTCGCATGGAATGTTGTTGATCCGATATTCTCGGAAATTACCACATTGGTCTTGTTCCTAACTTCAACCATAGTAATCCTCAATTACCCCCGGTGGCACAACAGTATGTTCGCTGACTTACAACTCTAGAAACTGGGTTTCGATACCCGTAGTGGGCACAGCACAGATAGTTCATTTTGTAGTTTTGTGCTTAACTACAAACAAACAAATTCACAATCAGTTTTTGAATTTACTCCTCTGTCGTGCTTTTTTGCCCTTCACCAAACCGATTGTCTAGAAGTATACTTCGTTAATATTCGCACACATAAATTAATCAACAACCATTAAGCTTTGTAACATGGGAGATTTGAAGAAAATAATTATAGAATAGTGAAATTATCTTGGCAAACGAGAAAAGTGAAGCTGGCACAAGTATACCACAAAAAATAAAAACGTTTATTCATTACACAAAGCGTTGTTATCTTTAATTAACCAGGAGCAGTTTTACACTGGCTTCTATACTCAAAGCACTGAGGATTTCTAGCAGTGGAAGCAGAATATAAGTGTATATTCACTAAATGAAGATTGAAAGGAGTGTGTCTATACCACACTTTGAAGTCGGACCAGAATCCTAAATTACATTCATAATTCTCTTTAATTGTTCAGGGGCGATTAATTAACATCTAATACCAGTTTGAACAAACCTCTGCACCAAGGGTTTACAATTTTTCAATTTGGATGTGGTACTTTCAAACTGCTGCTGGTCAATACTGTACTTTCACTAGCACACTACAGATACGTTAATATATCACCTTTTTCTTGCAGTCATCCACAGGCTCTCTCATGAGAAATTTTGTATACAAGCTAAAAGTCCATGGGACTAAGTGCATAATTATCTGATACTGTTGTGAATTTTGACGAGCTGGACACCTCTCTTACTGCCCTGACAGCAGTTGTTTTCGTTGATATAAATATTTTTAAGAAGCTTGATAATCTGGAATGGATAGTCTATGTTAGCTAAGACTTTGTAAAACTATGATAAAGCTGAGGGCTATATTTTAGTTTAAGAAATAGATAAAAAGGAATTACTTGTACTCTCTGATTTTTCCATCAAAATCCTTGGATAGAAAATTGGATATTGTATTTCTTTGCCTCTTCTTCGTTGGTTCTGTATTTCATTATTTCCTGTAATGTTTAGAATAATATTGCTGGCATGTAAATAAGAGAGATTTGCCAGTACTTAATACATAGTTTTAGATTTTATTTATTATGCAGATAATTGTAACATATTGATATACAAAGCAAATTGGTTATATCAATGTAATTTGGCAATGATTAAAATATTCAAATAGTCCCACTCAAATTATTGCATGCAGTGTTACAATTTTCATCCCGTAGTTACCAGAGGCTCTGTATTTCATATATGATTTTTCCAGTCGGAGCAATTTACTTTTTCAACATTCTTAACACATATAAAGCCTATTTTTTACCTATTAAAACAAAATTATAGCCAAAGAAATATAAAAACAAATATGTAATTTTGCGAAAAATTCTAATAGCATCATTCTTCTTTACTTTCATTCACAAGTTTTTATAATTTGTAAAGTGTCAAAAATTCCGCCAAAGTATGGTTCTTATACACCGTTTACTTTAGAGACCTCTAGAAAACAAAATAGATAAGTTCGGTACATTAGTTTATGATCTCAACTCGTTCTGCTTTGAAGTAATTTTTTCTTCAACTATGTTCTTACCATCTTTAAATTATAGGAAAGAAATGGACAATAACAAGCTATAAATCATTATGAGTGAGATTCAATAACAATTTTCTCATTATAGAGCAGTGCTCGAATCATACCAATTTTCGGCACTTTTTGGAACCTTTTTGACAATAAATAAAGATCTTTTAACAGAGAACAATGTTCGAATTTGACTATACATGTGAAAATCTATCAAAGAACATCGCCTCGTTCTGAGATGTTGCGACAGCAAACCATTGATCTGCAAATGGTTGCGCTTTGAATAAATTAGTAATAATAACGGTGAAAAATGTAAATAGACACATTCAAACATCTATAAAATACACATATTAATAAAGGTTGAAAACATGATCATAATATTTTATAGGATATTTTCAGATTATAATCGATAAGTAATTAATATAATTATAAGATGATTAAATATATAAAAAAGACATTTTTGGTTATTTGTTACGCTCTATTTCAACATCCTCAGTCTCAACTTTATAATATCATAAAAGAACTTGCATGCACTGCAGGTGGCGGTACAGTTGTTTTCTTGTTCAGTTTAGCTAAACCTAGTCTGAGTAGCCAATTTTTATTACTTGTGGGTTACTCGGATAGTAGTACTAGAGGAATTTATTATTCAATTAATTGTGAAAGAAAAGTTTTGTAACGGAGAAAAAGATAAATATTGTTTTGTTTAGTTTTAAATTAATGTTTCATCAGACTTACAATATTATTCGAACCATTTTTACAAGTGACTAAACTATTTCTCAACTAAGTCTGCCTTTGGACTTTTGCAGTTTTGGTAACTTACTAACTACAAAAGTTTTATTAATTTACCATAGTTAGGCCCAACGTATGTTACGTGTCACTGTCAGTCATGTATGTATAGGGGTACTTTTGAAATTGTGAAGAGTGTGGACAAGTTCGAAACTAAAGTAAATTAATCTGGAGAATATATTATCTTTGTTATAATAGTTCTGTTAAAAGATTAAAATTAGATTTTGAAAATTGGGTCCAATGACTTGTTTTTTTTTTAACAAAACGAAAGACCTAAAATATAAAATTAAGGTTGCAAAACACTGAAGACGTGTATTTGAACTTGAAGTTGAACTAGTTTATATTTTGCAGTTAAAATTTAAGCTATTAAAGGCAGATTTAGGTTACCGCTTTATCAAATTGAACTCGAAGAACCTAATATTAGTAACAAGTGGCATTGATATAAGCTTAGTGATAAACTAATACTGAAATTCGAGTGGGAAGATCTGTGACAGTGTGAAAAAGAATGCAAGCAATAAAGTGTGTAGTCGTGGGGGACGGGTGAGTTGGTTTTCTTTTACTTACTAATAGTAATATTATTATTAGCTTAGTAATAATACTAGCGATTATACTGCGATTGTAAAGTCTCGGATTTAAGAGTTATATAACAATTGGAAATGTATACAGTAAAGATGCATTACTATTAGTATTACTACTATTAACGGCATACTACTGTTACTTCACGGGTTAAATTTAACCAGTGTACTATGTTTTGTGCAAAATTATATGGCAGGCCTTCTCACTGTGTCAGCTGGTTAATAATGTAGTTAGTATAACGTTTTATTGTGTAATTTCATGGAATATTATTCCATTGATAATATGGTTTCAGTCTGGTATTTTGTCAGCATATTTGACTGTATCATTATCATCCCTGTTTTGCTTATAGTTGATTATTATTTTAATGCATCACCTAATTATTTTATGCTTCTGGTATTAATACTAATCTCTAGAAGCATCTCATTGAGTAGTCTTAACCATTAGGCTCAGAGGTTTTAATCTTATTAATGAAACATTGGCATGCTTCAGAGTATAACACTAACTACCTTGCTTTCAGTATCTGGCAGTGTGCTTTACTGTTAAAATCTTGCATGCTTTTGTAACTTACATAATTTAAGTCACCAAACAAAGCATAATTTTGCAATATTTATCATTTGATATTCTAACGTCAAGTTTGTTACTTTGCATCATAATGCAAATTTGCATGTATAAATTGTCAAAATTTGTTTTGTATAATATTTCCACCTACATAATATAAATTATGAACTGTAATAGGCACAGAAGAATGCCAAATAGTGAAAGCAAAGTAATTAGACTTTTAGGTAAGTGAATGTCACAATAAAAAGTGAAAAAAGAAAAATCTCAGTCTAATTGTTAGACTACTTATTGGGGTAAAATGTTAGTTTGTTTTTATAATTTTTTGCAAAGATGCATAAGGCCTGTCTCTGCATAGTTTTTTATCTGATTTTGAACTGATAAATGAAAAGCAATTAGTCAGCCATGTATAAGTAGTATTATTGTAGTATGCAGGCATACTAATGTTTTCTTCCTACTCCCTCACTTAATATAACTTTTTAAAATTTCTCTATTTTTTTATGAATGTAGTCTTAATACAGAATGTCAGTCAAGGGAACAACCAAGTTCCTCTTGCCCTATTTACCTACTGATTTGCACACACATTCTTGTGGAAATGATTCCTGTAAATTGGGGAATACCGATTAGAAATAGACATTGATCTTTTCCAATGGCATCTCAGCGACACCTCAAGCACAGAACATCCCTTTTTTTTACAGTGAGAGTGCCTGTCAATCATGTGAGGTGTGCCTTCACTGTTACTCTTGTCTGAATGAATATTTGGATTTAACTCTCACTTTTATAGTACTTCCATGACAAGAAAGTGTAGAATACAGTTTTGCAGAAATGGAACATGAATTCTTAGATTCACATTAACACCAGTTTTTAAAGAAACTAGCAAAAAATGGCATGTTTATCTGAAGTGTGTCGGGTGACCTGACTAATAGTGAAGTGATGTTTGCTGTAAATGCATATAGTGATACAATGATTTCTTGTGGTTGTAGTAAACTATATATGTCTTCATTTGTTTATCATTAATATCAAGATATGTAGAATATTTTAGAGTTGGAAAATTATTGTTTTCAAATAATAAGAGCTAACATATATCTACATCAAATGGGAAAAAATAATACCCAAAACACATTATAGATATTTTTCACACTCTCTTTTACTCTATTTAGAGGGCATTATGCATGTTACTTTATTTGAATTTTATATGTTATAGAAGTAATGAAATGGCTAAAAACATGCATATACATAATGAACATGCACATTTAAACTTGCTATGTACATGTTCTTCAGCAGGAAATGCATGGAGTAAAATCCATATATTTAAGAGTGGAGCTATGGTAGTGATTTTTCTTGGCAAGTATTTCATGTACAGTTTAATATGCTATTTTCTTGTGTAAAAATTAAACATTCAAAGACAAGTATGTTTGATAATATAAACAGCTGTGCCATGTTTACTGAACATTTAAAACACCTCACTTTACTGTATCTTGAAAAAAGGGGGTCAATTACAGTTTAAAAAAAATACAATTCATTTTAACATTCTTGGAAACTTTATATTTTTTTACAGCTCTTGTTTTAGAGAGTACATGTTACATTTGTAATGGGTACACGTGATATTGTCCATGAAGTACTTTTCTGGTATTAACATAACAAAAAAGTTATACATAAGTGGCAAATTGGGAATGCTTTGATGAAATTCCAACAAATTTCTCTATAACGTTTCATTAAAATCTCTTGAAATCAACTGTGTGGTTTCTTTTCCAAAACATGTTTCAAAATTTGCAAGAACTGAGAAGTGATTGACCTTAGCCAGTAGTACACAAAGATATATTACCCTATAACTCAAGCACTTTTGAAAGGTGGACCTTTTTTTTTTCTTTACGTGCAAACTCAGCCAATATTAATGTTAGCACATCCAATGGCTTTTATTTTTTCAGCACATTGCCCACAGTGGATTTAGATATGAGGTGGTGGAATGAAATATCTTTGACACCTGTTATTGTAGGCTTTGTTTTTAATCTAGATGATTCTGGAAACTTGTGTTATTGTTTAGCCAGAAGAAAGTTTAATATGACATTACAGGTGTGGCCTTAATGACTATAATCTTTTTGAAAGTTTAGGGAATAATTTGAGCCATGTATATAAAAAAAATGAGTTAGAATATATTGGATTATTGAGGTTACTGGCCAATTAATGAGTAATCAGTGCACAAATTAGTCAATTTTCTGTTACTGCCAGCCAGCCAGTTCAGTGTTGTGAATATAGATATATGAAATTAGTACTAAGTGGAATTTCTGCTAAAATGTGGTTTCTTGAGAAGATGGGCCAACTGGTGAATGTTGCTTACTCTAACTGTAGAACTCTTTAATTTCAAGAAAACTCTATCATTAGCATAATTATTATTTTACTGAATAATCCAAAAGCCTGGTCAACAGTAGAAATCATAATGATATTATTTATGCTGTATCCATTATTTGAATATTTCTGATAATATATAATAACTTCTACCAGAAGGGCTGCTAAAATTCTACAATAATAATTACAGTTAATAATAAATAGTCTTCATTATGAGTAACAGGCAAACCACAATAAAGCTCTTATGAGCTGGACTGAGTATAAAACTTTGAAAAAACATAGTAATAGTGGAACAACTATTATGAATAATAACTTCCGAGACTAATTGAGGCCAAAAATGTTACTGTAATATGTTTTCCTAGTATTATGTAGGACTCGTGTGGTTACCACCGATAGTAGGATTGAGCAATTCAAAAATTGTGAGGTATTCCCATTGCTGTAATTTCATTGGCTTTTCCCCAAGATTTACCCATAATTTAGTCTGAAGTGCCAGTAGTGAGGCAGAAAAAAGTTTATTTCATGAAGAAATCATGGACTTTGATTAAAACAATGCTTGAGTGTGTTGCTTTTACTTGCTCTTTTAAACTTAGGGAAATCGTGGACTTTAATTAAAACAATGCTTGAGTGTGTTACTTTTACTTGCTGTTTTAACCTTGGGAAATCATGGACTTTAATTAAAACAATGCTTGAGTGTGTTACTTTTACTTGCTATTTTAAACTTGGGGAAATCGTGGACTTTAATTAAAACAACCTTGAGTGTGTTACTTTTACTTGCTATTTTAACCTTGGGAAATCATGGACTTTGATTAAAACAATGCTTGAGTGTGTTACTTTTACTTGCTATTTTAAACTTGGGGAATTCATGGACTTTAATTAAAACAATGCTAGAAGTGTTCCTATAAACAACGTGTACAGTGTATCATGATCACAACTAAAGCTAATTGCAATATTATTTCAGAACGTAAGGTCAGAATACTTTGACATGAGAGTTCTGTAACACGTAAAGGTTACTCATCACGCAGATTGTTTTTAACCCAGTTGCTGAGAGTTTGGAGATACGGAACTGTTTAATATAACGATGTCGTTATTAACTGAAGGTTTTTTTTTCAATTTCAGTGTGCATTTATATGTCACATAATCAGACGTTGAATCCATGTGTTTATATGGGACCTCTGACAGATTTAGAGGCCTCCATGTCAATGGGTTATCCGTCACAGTATATTTATGCTTCTGATAAAACAGACATGTAAAGCAAGTGGGTGAGAATATTTCAGTAGTTGAAATACAGTTGAAAATTACGTAGCAGTGTTCGAAAGATAATAAATGCATACGATTTTGTAACTTACGTGTGGGTTATATATATATCTTAACAAATAATATATGAACATTAAAACGTGATTTTAAACGTCTCATTTACTATTTATTACTTTTTAATTTAACAGAAATCAGTTCTATATAACAAATGGCAGGAAACTAGAAAAACAAATGATAAAATATGAATTAAATATTTTGAAAGAATTGCGTTTTTCTATTCACACACGTTTTTTTTTATCGGTTGTACTGTTAGCCATATTTCTTGTATCTCACCTGATGTCAGGTAAACCTGGTGAAACGATGTGAACAAAATAAAAATAATTGTGCACGAAATATTACAAAAACAGTTTCTACTTGTAAACAGTAGACGCTCACGTTTTTCGCAGATCTTATTTTACAAAATGTTAATTTTATGTAGTCAGATGATAGGGGTGAAATGAGCCAGCTAAAATACAGACGGCAACTGTTGTAAACTGAGTGCAAAAATAAGCCTGTGACCATATTCTAAACTAAATATGGCGACATTTGTAACAAAATTGTACCCATTCTCATCATAATTCCCCTTGCAGGCAGATCTGGAGAAGCTTGTTGCATTAGTACTAGTTGTATTCCTCTGAGGAGTGTTCGCTCTTACTCAGTGCGACTGCACTAGTGTGGTCACATGATACTATAACTAAGCTAATAATAATGAAATGTAAGGTGATTTAAGGGACTTTTTTTTCCCCCGGGACCACATTGCCACGACGAATTTTTGCAATTTATAAACCCTTTCGTTTAGAAACAATTAGAAAGTCTTCATTAAGTGATAGAACAAGTGTTTGGAGCATCATTTTTCAAACTGATAATTTCCTTTTTTATCATATATACTTTACGAATTGAAATAAAACTACAGTGATGATGCTTTATAAATTATAGTTGATTGATGAGTCATAAACTGAACTACAACTCGGTGATTTCTGCAATAATAGTTTACTAGTGTAATGGCATGTAGAAAAAGTGTTGTAATTCTTAAGTACTTTTCTCAGTGCTACTTCAAGTAGCGGTATATTACCGCAGTAAAAAACATTTTATTGAAGGTTTACTGTAGTGCTGTACTATTATATTATTGCATTTTATTCAATTGTATTTATGTGTAACGTAATTTAGAACTAATTATTGCTATTCTATGGTGTATTGTGAATAAGCTAACAATTTATTTTTAGCACTTTTGGTGGTCACAGAAAATTAAATACAATGCTGCAACAGTTTCCGAACTATTATGTATTCGGAATCTCCTTCGTTTGCTTACGTGTTTCTCGAATTTGACACGAACTTTGCTACAGACCATGCACTAGACTACTGCGTATTCACAGCTAACTTAGGCCTACGTGTTTTATTGGTTTCACAAAATACCCCCCCCCCCTCCACGAAACAACAATAAAACGACGTTTAATGTTCATGCAAGTTGTAAACGGATTACGAAAATGTTTCCAAAGACATTCTGGCACTACAAATGTATTGGATAATAAAAACATTGTACAAAATTTCGTGGTTTCATTGTCTTAACTCTGAAAATAAGTCGTCTTGGAATGCAATCGACTAGAGATAAATATTCCGATTTGCACCCGATGCAGTCAAACACAGAAATTCAGAGGCACAAAAAAATTTTAATTAGAAATTTGTATTTTACGGTATAAATATTGCAGTTACTCAATACCAATACACCGTCATTGATCACATTATGTAAATATAGATTGTTTTAAGATCCTTATCGTATGAATTTTTGATATAAAATAATAAACTGTAGTGTTATGAGTTGATGGTTTTTGTTTGTTTTTATCAAACTTCTGTACTACATGTATGGCGTTTTTAGTTTTCTTTTGAAAAACAACTAAAAACATTATATTTATTTATATTTAATACACAGCCCCCCCCCCAAAAAAAAAAAACAAAACTAGCCTTGTTCTTTCAATTTGCTCTTACTTGTGGTTACTGATGGCGGGTAGAAATTTCCCGAAACTAGCATAGTTCAGTGCCAAGTGGTGAATAAAATGGTAGATTGGGCTTCTTATTAATTACTATTGTAGATTAATATAATTTGGGTAAGGGAAGCAGAGTAAAAAAATATTATTTAATGACATGCTACCTGTCCATTTTAAAAGATGTTACAAATTTAAGTTTATTAAAACTATGGATAAATACAACTTAACAGTTTTCACGCAGTTCCATTGGTGGAACTGGTCTTTGAACCGCATTTCTGCGTTTATCTTATTTTTATCATGTTTCAACTCATTGTTGTAGATGATGTTCTTTGAAAATAATGAAGCGAGTTTAAATGTTCACACACACACACACACTTTGGCATTTAGTTTAGTTATTATTGAAACAGTTACATAAAAAATCTGGTGTTTGGCGTTTCAGTTTTGTGAAACCTAATTTTACTTGACGAACGAACGTACCAAAACAAGAAAAGTTTATTTATTAGTAGTTACAAGCACTTAGTTTTTAACTGAAGTTTAGTACGTGTTTCAGTAAGGCCAGTAAAATCCCACGGGTCTCTCATCTTCAGCTAGTGTGGACGCGCCTGGTGAAATAGAGCGTCTGGGTATTACGTAGGAACGATGTACCGGTACTTCAGTATAGCAATATATTGTCAGTACATTAACACACGCACAAGGTAGTTAAACGCTATCGCAGTGTTTATGTAGGTGACAAAACTTTCATCATTGGTGCTAAATAATCAAAAGTTACGTACGTACGCGTGAAATATGCTTATCACTAAGGCTAATAAAAGTAATTTTTATATAAAAATTAAAATAACTTTTGCCAGATTATACATTATTTCGTATTTGCAATTATTTCCAGCTGATGGATTTGCCATATAGGACAAACTGAGAATTGATGATATCAAATAAAGTTAGATAAGCACACAATATCACGTTTAACATCATGCTTCCAGCCGTTTCAAAATTCTGTCAATTCTGACAGTTACCCTATTTTCTCTAACAAATCTTTTAATTATAGCACAAGATTTGGCCATGTTTATAATAATTTTTCTGTAAGTTATATTGTAACCAGTACTTCAAAATGTGATAGTGTTACATTTGAACTTACTCTTAGAATGTTACTGTAAAATGGTTTAAAGTCATTGTCATTTTACAGAAACTATACATGAAGTAGTGTTTGTTTTATAAAATCAATGCAGAAGCCAATTACCATTTGAAGTTACCATGCCAAGTGTAGCATTTAAGTTATTCCTTGTTAGAAATTATCAACTGAAAGTATTTTTTTAAATGTTCGAAAACTAAAATCACTGCTTAGTTTGGATGTTTAACAAATATATCAAAGAAAAGCTTTAAAATATTAATTGCTGTAAACTATCAAATCTTTGCATAGGTGTACAGTTAAATAGCTTAAACTTTATTACTAAAACAAAATTTCAATTTATACATCAAAAAACAAATATTTGGAAATACTATAAGTTATTATTTTTTTTCTGAAACAGAAACTATGTTCTTTGATTTTGTATAAATAGTACAAGAATGTTACTTTATTCAATCTACTTTCTGTAAAAGGCTTAATGAAATCTCATCCTCTTCAGGGCTGTTGGTAAAACATGTCTTCTGATCAGTTACACAACTAATGCCTTCCCTGGTGAATATATTCCTACAGTGTAAGTATTTATTTTTTAGTTTATGCAAATAGTATGTAAGACTAAATACTGAAGACAAAGATAAGTTTGAATTTCCTTATTTTTCATTCATTTGGTAGAGATCTTGATTTAATCAGACTTGGTCCTTATTTTGGATACTGGCTTGTTTATAAGAAGTTCCAAATTAATCATGAAAAACTTTTCCTGAGTTGAATAAGCAAGATGTACTCCAATAATATGTCTGTAGACTTTATTTATCAATATTGTTTATATCATGAAAAATTAAGATGATTTGGCATATTCAGCTTTATTGTGATTCAGAAAGACTGGCAGGTAGGCTTTTACTGTAGTGAATTTTACATAAGGTCTTAACTTTATGACAGTTAAACGTTATCTAATGTTTAAAAATTAGCCTTTGAAAATAGTCTGTAAATATTTTTGTTTTCAAAAAAAGTGTGAGAAATAATGTAGAATAATGTAATGAAGAATTACTGGTAGATTATAAAACAGAGCAGTTAACATTGTAAGACTCAATTCTTGCAGTTTAAATAGTACAAGTCCCAGTGGCAGTTTGCCTTAACATCATTGATTCTCATTGTTGCTGATACTGGGTGAACTGAATTTCCTTTCAACTTATTTAGTACTAACTGTAAGAATGTTAGTCCTTTTGGGTTAAGCAGTAATGTGTGTATATGATATTCTAAATGTTCTTCTGTATTAGATAACTTTTAATGTGAAATCTAATTGATAAGGAATGTCATTTAACATTTTTCTTTTCCTGAAATGTAAGATCTTATGTTTACATGCAAAAAATACACGTAGAATGGTGCATATTAAAAAAAATTGAACAGGTTTTTAACCTAATTCATTTAGTTGACAGAAGCCATGACACACATCTAATAGTGTTACATGAGTTACTAGCATTCTTTTGTTACCCCCTAGTTAAGAACTGATGGTTTTTAAATGAACTATCAAGCAAATTCACATCAGTGTACACATAGTAACATTCAAAATAGTAGATTTCTGTATTTAATATTTCTAGTATTTTTTGTTTTGTCATTGTTAGCTATTTTAACAAAACTGTGTAGTAACAATGCAGAAAGATATGGAAATGTCTGTGTATCTTTAGTATTTCCTTGTGTAAATTAGTTGCTCACATCTTTTTAGGTAGTACCATTCTTTAGATAATGTTACATATAGGAGCATTAACAATTCAGCTAGTTGTAATTTACCGAATTACTGTCTCAGTGATGAAATTAATTTTTCTTGTTGCTGAAACCCAGCTGTTAATTAAAAACAAGATTCTGAGATTTCAGGAATGAACTTAAAATGAGTACTCATTTCATAAGAAAGAGAAGTACCAATGATAATAAAAGCAGTAAGTTTAATTTCAAAATATACACATTCTATCTTCACTATGAAACTAAAATACTGACAAGAATGAAGATAATAGTTAAAATGTACAATAAAACATATTGCATGTTAATACATTTTATAGATTGATAAATGTGTGGACATATAAATCTATCCCACAAATGAAGTAGGCAGCAGTACAGAGTGGGGATTGTTTTTCCAAAAAAATGTGAACCTTATACACAAAAAATTTAAGTGAGTTTTCGTAACCTTAATGAAACTTGCCAAATGAAAGTATTCAAACTTACTTCAGTGAGCAAAAACAGAGAGAAACATAACTTACCTCACAGTAACAAACTATTAATTTGTAAATGACTTTAAAAATATGTGGGGTGGTTAGAGATGTAGCTGAAATGAGTTTGTTTTATTTAAATGAAGGTTGTGATGTTTAATAAGAAGGGTTTCTGTCAGTGTTGAAATGGCTAGAATTTTATATTGTCTTACATATTTTATTTTGGTTTTTCTATCAGTTTCATCCTTTTATTTTAAAGCTTTTAGTTGTGCAAAAAGACCAGTAAGTAAATATGCTCTTTGTCATATCATTGGTGTTTCTCTTTATAATAAAATAAATGATTTCTGCTCAGTCTATTGTGAGTAGAGATACTTTCTTAACTTGATGAAAAACAACAGTTTTCCAATATAATGTATTGCTTCTTTGCAACATTGTGTTATGATAAGTAATATTGTTATACAGTAAAGTAATGAAAAAATATACATAATGTTTAAAATTCTTAATCATGCACCTTCTTCACCATTGGGGGGTCAACAAGATGAAACAAGTCGTATATATTTACTGTACCTTAAGTAACATAGAAATTAATATATTTGTTTGGTGGGATCTGGCTTTTTTCTTTACACAAATTGATAAGAAACAACAGAACTTAAGTGATATTAAATAACTTAAATTTCTAAACATTCCCTGAAGTGATTCTGTTTACTAGTTAGTGATTGAGCCTTCTAAAGATGTGCAAGCTGGTGAACTTGTAAAACTCTAATGACCTATTTACTAATAAACTAATAAATATTTGCAGCCTTTATCAGTCACCTAAGACTGAGCCTAATGTAAACATAAGGAAGTTGTTTGGACAAGTTGCTAAAGCAGGCCAATCACAACCCATCAAAAGTTTTATTTTAAATTTGATGAGAAAATGTTTACATCATTAGATCCCCCAAGACTTTTTAAAAATTGTGTAACAAACTTGTGATTATTTTTGTAAAATAATCATGGAAGATTAAAATTTTAATTCATAAGTTAACTTATGAATTAAAACTTGGTTTATTTTTGCCTTTCCATGATTTTCAAGGTTCCCATACGAGTGCTATGTTAAAACACATATTGACAAGTAGTATTTTTAGGTCACTTTTAACTTGGTACTGTAGTATTAGAATACAAGTTCCTACTGTGCACTCATGTCTGGTATTGGAATTATTAGAACATAATTTGCATTAGCACTTGGTACTTGTACACGATACTGGTGTTATATTGTTATAACATATGAATTGATTCATGATATAGGTACATGTAATGTACTAATAAAACACTGGTATTTGTAACTACCATCATATCACAAGACCATGTTTTAAACTGTAAATGTTATACTGTAATATTTCTGGACACCCTATTCTTAGATTCGATAACTACTCAGCAAATGTAATGGTGGATGGAAAGCCAATTAACCTGGGCCTTTGGGATACAGCAGGCCAGGAAGATTATGATAGATTACGACCTCTTTCCTACCCACAGACTGTAAGTATCACTCAAGGGCAACATTTATAATGTCAAGATCACTTGTAACTAGAGTTGCTTCCTGAACTTTTGTTGGTGTTTCATAATGTACATCACTTTTGTCAAGTGAGATGCTAAGGTTTTCAAAGAAAACAATGATGTACCCAAAACAAATCCTAGTCAGTTCTTACCTGAAGTGGAATGCTGCATTTTACTACTTAGGAAGGAATCGTGTTGTAAAATGTGTAATTGTAACTTACTACTGCACTTGGTTGTATTATGGTCGCTATATAACCATTACACCTTTATTGGAAGTATGTTGGTAACTTTTACATGATGTTTGGAATTTGAAATGGCAAGTTTGTTCAACAGAAAGTTTACAATATAATGTTTTAAATTTTGTGCATCTCCATGTTGTTGTAAAAGTTATATGCATACAATTAAAAACTTATTTTACAATGGATACATTCATGTACATAACTAGATGTAGAATTGAATTCAAGATATTAAAGTTGGACATTTTTATCCCTTCAAATGTCATACTATAAGCATCACCATCCAAGTAACAGACTTTGAAAACTAGCTTGATTGAACATCCTGCCTTAAGAACAAAAATTGTATTGTTTAAAAGTTGTTGAAATGCACTTTCTTCTAATAACTTTGGTATTACAAAGAAAGTCCTTTCCACGTGAAGCTGATAAATATAAGTATCAAAGCATGATAAATATATTAAAATATTCAATTACAATACAAAAACGAAAATCCTCCAAGACCTGTATATTTTGACGGGCATCACATATATAAACTTAATCAGACATTTGGGATTTCAAAATTCGTAACAACAATGTATGATATTTTGGTTTAGATTTCATGTATACAGGAACAACAATAGAAAAGAAGCATACATGAAAGTTGAGTTTTACATATCTGATTTGCTTATCACATATATTTCTTTTATTTTTTCTTTGCATAACCATGGTAAAATGAATTATTTCCCAATAAGAAAGGTGAATGTTTATGACACATTTTAGGCATTTCTGCCTACATCATACCTTCCAGTTTGCTTGATGTTCAGTGTATACATGAAGAATATTTGTAATAGTACGAAATAACCATTTTACACTTTGTGTTTGTGGTATAACTTTTGGCTTTGCCTAGTTTCCACATTACACATGTTGCATCTTTAGGTTTTTTCTAGCTCTCACTATAGACATAATGCATGTAACATGTTCTGGCTCTATGCTCTTCGGATGGATCCGAAGAGTGTTGGATTACAAATATGTGAACCTATTAATAATTTAATTTAAAATGAAAACAAAAATGTTTTCACTGTATCAGATGGTATTTTTAGCTTTATATTGTTGAAGTGGGTTGTTCCGTAAAATGTAAGCAAGAATACACTGGTTCAGATGTGCAAATGGTTTATTTTACTCAAAATAAAAATGAAGAGTACTTACAACTTACATTACTAGATGATGTATAGTTTAAAAAAAGCTGGAAAGGTTGTAATTAAGACTTATGCATTAAAAGGTATGTCTAAACATCACTTCAATAAATATAAGCTGATAAAGAACAAGAAAGAAGGGGGAAGTAAAACAGGGAATCTTAGCTTTTGATCTTCAGAGAGAAGTAAAATATACACAGAGATAACAAAATACCCATATGCTACTGTTACATGCATCAACAACGAGTCACACATGAGGAAGGGAAAAACTATTAATCTTATGTGTGTTTTGGTGGATTGTTTTCAGTAGTACCTTGAAGTGTCTTACTCTAAACTATGTAAAACTGTAACTGTATAGAAGTTTATTCAAGCTGTGACTGTTAAATGTACCCTAATAAAAGGTTATTTGTCCTGATTGATACTGATTGGTGGGTTTCAGTTTTGTTTTCTACAGTATGTCCATTTTCATGCATAAAAAAAAAAGATGCTCCATAATCAAGAAAATAGCATTAAAATCTAACATTTTCTTGGTTATCAACAACTTGGCTTGTATAAAACAGCTGTACAAATGGCAAATAAATGTTTTTCTTGCAGGATGTTTTCCTCATCTGTTTCTCTCTAGTAAATCCTGCATCTTTTGAAAATGTCAGAGCAAAGGTAAGTTAATGTTCTTGCATACACATACAGATGTATAAAAACTAGCATTTTTTTTACAAGCCATGGAATTTGTTTAAATTAATTACTCATTACCTACAAATGTTTATGACTATTGCTTCATTTTGAACGTAAAACTGTCCATCATTTTTTCTGAATTTTGAAATCATAAGAATGTTTGATACTTTTTAACCCAGTGTACATATTAATAAATATTGGAAATTATGTGTAGTTGTAATTTTGGAATGGTGGGGCTACTTTTAAAATTTAAGTGTAATACAAACACTAACTGTTGCTACCAATATATGTTATAAAATAGCATTCAAAAAACTTACAATATTCCTTTATTAATCACACATATATTTTTGCCTTTTTTTTTCTTCAAATTGCTTGCTAGTTTCCATTACTGAATTTAATTATTCCCTGAACATAGTTTGTACAAGAAGTTTTGGAAAAAACAAACTAGTTGTTATATTGTTCTAAGAGCTGATACCCTTCTTCCTATAAACAAGGTTGAAGATGTAAAATTCCATTATGATTTATTCAAAATTTTTTTCTTTCTTGCTTAAAATAAAAGCAAAAATTTAGGTACATGAGAACATTAAATAAAGAGGATAATGACAATATGGCAGGCCAAAAACTTACACTGTTGATTGTTGTCTTAAAAAGTTTAACAGGGAAACACTTTAAAATACAGACAAAACTTTGCATGATGATCAAACAGATTTTAATTATGCACTCATTGTTTAAAATTGAGAAATGTGACTGTAACTATAAAGTTGTTGAAATAGATAAGAAAGCTTGTTTTTATTGATACTTTTTAAGTTAGCTCGTACAAACAGTTTTGCATGGTATGAAGCCAAATAGAAAAAGAACAATTTTATATTTTTTGATAAATGCTAAATATATATTAACATTTATATAAAACAAATAAAAAAACTACTATTTTCACAAATTTTTAATCTCCAACTAACTGCCCGATTTAACAGATATGTCTAATTATTGCTAGTTCTGAAATTGTTCAATATTACAATATTCATAATTTTCATGCAAAAATAGGTTTTAAAGGTACAGAAATTGAGTCCATGTTTTCTAGTATGTTAAAATATTTTTTCTAATAAAAAAAATATATTTTGGTGTACTATCTAATGTGAGTGTATGTTTCATTTAAAATTTCCTCTCTATCTCAGTGGTACCCTGAAGTGAGTCACCACTGTCCAAATACTCCTATTATTTTGGTTGGTACTAAGTTAGACTTGCGGGAAGATAAGGAGACCATTGACAAGTTAAAAGATCGTAAACTGGCACCAATTACCTACCCTCAAGGTCTGGCCATGGCCAAAGAAATAGGGGCAGTAAAATACCTTGAGTGCTCAGCTCTAACACAAAAAGGATTGAAAAATGTGTTTGATGAGGCCATTCGAGCTGTGCTTTGTCCACAACCAAAGCCAAAGAAAAAGAAACATTGCTCTCTGCTCTAAGTTTTTTAAATATTCTACAGCTTGTTTAAATTTTACTGTTTTTTATTTTACTCTGGCCTAATTGCACAGGTTATTTCCTGCTCTGTTGGTTGTTGAATACTTGTTTTGTTATTAACAACTGCCACTTGGTCACAAATATAATGGTTGTACTACCATTGTCTGTAGGGCTTTCATAACTTAAGAAGCTAGATCCTATAGCATTTTGATGAAGATAAAGTTATGATATTGTACATGAGATGTTGCACTCATGCATAGAAATGTCAAGGAAAACCTGGTAGAATTTATTACAGAACACAGTTTATACTAACCTGCAACAAATTGTCATTTGTTAAAAATTATCAGGAAAAATAAATAAGGTACTACGAGAGAGAAAAATAGCTTTTAGAAATTTTTTTCTAAGGATAAAAAAAATTATTAATGAAGAAGAGACTGTCTAATATCAGTGCCTTGTTTGTTCTCCTTTTGTATTTAGATGACTTGCTAAATTCAAAATAAATTTGTTTCGTTCACAATACAAATTAGTTGAAAAAAATGACATACACCCAGGAAAAGTTTGAATGGAATCATTTCAGAGAAAGGACAGATTTTTACTTCTTTTACAAACAATTACTTTGTTGAAGAAGTGTCAGTGAAAATGTAGAAATAGAAGCATAGAATGAGTTGCTGTATAAATTTGATCTTACTTTGTCTCGGTAGAATGTAAGATTTTAAGAAAAAGTGTATGATATTATAGTATATTTGAACCCCAAACTCATGAAACATACACTTAACTTGTGACAAAAATAATTATTAAAATATACCCTTTGTTATTTAAAGAAAGTACAGGTCACTTAGTGTAAAACATACTAATAGTTTTATCAGATAAGCTGATAACTGAGAAAATGTCTTCCAGTCATTATGACTGATTACAGAAGGGCCTGATACTAGCCTTATCAAATACATTTTTTAAACTTTTATAAGATCTTTAAGTTACCTAATAAATAATGTATCCAGGACTAATATAAATTAGATCAGGCATTTTACTAAAGACCATAACTATATTGGATACCATTAATTTTTGTTTATATAAAGGTTCACAAATTGGATGAACATTAAAAGTTTTAACTTTACTGGTTAGTCTAATGATAATAAATGCACTGGTTATTACTGAAAATCTGGAAGATGTGGTTTGTCATTTATAAGAGTTAAATGCTTACATTACTTTTTTTATATTATTTTCCGAGTGTGCAAATGTCGATGAATTACTTCAAGACAGTCAATTTATAACTTATTTCCAAATGGTACAACTTAAAACATTTTCCAAGAGAAAGCCATTCTTGTACTAGGATGCCTTCAGAACTTAATTTTTTAAGGTGAAAATTGTTTTGTAAGAGATTTTTTATAAGGACTAAACAGAGAGTAGCATAGTAACATTCATTTTAATATTTAGCCATGATTAGAATTAAGAATAAGCATTCATGTCCTCAGATTTGATAAGTCTTAAGTTGTTGCTCGTGCATTGATGGTGTATGTAACACAAGCATACATTATGAACAATTGCTTCTTTAAAAAATGTTACATATAAGCTAACAGTAAACAACTGTACATTACACAGCTAGAAGGATTGGTAAGACAGACAACACTACAGTAAGTTTATCTATAGTCCACCTTCTCCCCCTGAATAATTTCAAAACATTTAAAATATATTATTCTTAGTGTAACTTACCAACATGCAGATCTGTGTCTTGCTTTGGGCTGGCTCATTCTTCATTCAAAGGGTATTTCTGTGTGCTCAATAAACAAGTTATTGTGTGCTAGTTTCAGCTTTTGTCTTATGTTGTGTACTGTTAATTAATGTCTAGTAAAATACGACATTAAACTTGAGTGTGAAAAACAAAAAAGTCTTACTTTGGGAAACTGGTGAGCCAAGAAGTTTCAAGATAGAATGTCCCCTGACTAACAGTAATGTGAAGTGTTAGGACTGGAGGTTTGTATTAAAAACATAATTCATATGTATCATAATTTTGTTGGATTTTGATTTATCTTGTAAATGTAGCATTCACAGTTTAAATTTTATTCTCAGCACCGTGCCACTAGCCCAGTGTTTTCCAAACTTTAAATAGCTACACCTCCTTGATATTAGAGTAATAATGAAATCAACATTTTATTTATGAAGAGTTGGAGACGATAACCTAACAAAAGTATCACTTTGCTCTCAAAGACTTTTTTGTCTCACTCATTTTCAACCACTTTTGCAATTAAAAAAGTTATTAAAAACAGGTTGTCGTTATTTTTGGGTTCTCTCGACAAAAGACGCCCCCCAAATAAAAAAAATATTTGGAAAACACTGCACTGGCCCTTAAATACAGAAATGTAGTAATCTGACTGTTTAATTGTTGTTTCATTAAAATGTAACTTTTTTGCCATTAGTTTATTATAAATGCTTTTTCACAATCAATAAAAAAAGGAAATGTGAGATTCTTCTCTATGGAAACTTTACTTTCAGATTCCAAATTTCTAACCAAGTTATTTTTCTAAATATTTAATTGAACCCCAGCACAAAAACATATTTTCTACAAATACAGAATATATGGCCTACATGACCAAGCCCTGATGAACATCTTGTTCTCTATACCCTGTGGATTGTATCATTAATGTAACCACATGCTGGTACAAGTGGTCCTGACTCCAGTTAAGGGATATTAGATTGATTATATTGGCCATAATCCATGTTTAACTTACATACTATGAATTATGAAGATGCGAAATCACATATAACAAATGCCCACTGACAGCTGTAAGCTGATTGACTAATTAATGATAAAGTAATAGATATTATATGAAATACATAAAGGTACAGAAACTAACTAAAGTATAGATCAAAGTAAAAGTAAAATACAAGTAATTCACTCTGCACAGAATATACATTTTAATATTTTACTGCTGTATTTATAATCAGTATTACCAGCATTTGCATCATTTATGAAAATTAGGTAGATATGGTTTTAAGTTCTTCCAAGTAAGTACAAACCTGTCAGTTACTGGTGAAGTGTCATCTATAAAGAAATATTGCTCCACAAGCTGTCACCACCACTGCAGCATTGTTTATGCTTTGGTACCTGACATAGGCCTCCTTTGTAAAGTCTGTTTCTAACCGCTTACTCTGAACTTCTGATTCAATCTTCAGTCAGAATTGACAGACTCTGATCATCTGCTTGTGTTCTGAATGGCTCGTTGTCAAGGTGTAAGAACAACACTTACCTTTGATCTGGAAGAGTTCTGTAATTTGTTAATTATAATAGTCTCTCTGGATTGGTTGGCTCTCTACACGAATAGAAGATCAAATGTCTTCTTTGAACAGTTGTAACTCTGCAATTCACTTCAAAGTTAGAATTGAGACCACTATATAAATACTCGTTTGCATTTCAGATTACTTGACTGATTGTTAGATGTCTGGTTTTCATAATAATGAACTGAAATTTTATAACAACGTTTTTTTGCCTTGTCATATATAGAATATTACAATTGTCCTTTAATTGAATATTTAAACAGTTAATCACTATCATACGAGAAACTATCTTTTATTTAATATCTTCATTTGATTGTGTGTGGTAGTTCGAAATTAGATACATCACTGCTTGTACTGAAAATGGTTCTTCTTATGCCTCCATAATAAAACAAAAGGTGCATAAAGTAGGGATTATACCTCTATCCTACAAAGTTTTTATATAGTACAATTTTTAAAAAGGTGCATACAGTGGGGATCACACTTCTGTCCTGAAAAGTATTAATACAGTGTAATTTATCCATAGAAAGTGCAAAGTAACCCAAACACTATCTACCATTATGGAAGTCTAAATTAATGTCTTGAAGAAAAATCCACCAAGGTATATGGAAGTTATGTGGCTCCAACAAAACTATCATCTAAGAATCTTGATGTGAATACTTGAAAAATTACCAGCATTAGGCTTCAGACGCTCTTTTATATATGCTGTTATAAATGATGTATTTTTGAACCTGCATACCACATCAAAAACAATGTATACAGATGTGAAGGGACTGCAGATGAAAAGAACATTGATATAATACATAGTTCCAACATCAAAAAAAGGCATGAGGATTGTATGGAAATGTTTCTCCTAAGTAACATCCAGGGCACACCAGATATGGGAAGCTTTATTGAAAAAAGACATTACTGCTAGAAGCCAGCATGGTTTTATTGACCCCTTCTGTGCTGAGCTTTATTTGGAAATGAGCTAAAATTTTTTATTTCTCTCTTTGATAGCCTATTAAGGGAACAAAAGTTCTTTTATAATCTATTATTATATTTCAGCACAAAATAAATTTTAGTGTAGAATGGAAAATCATAATTGTTTTCACGCATCTTCATTATTCCCACTTCAATTATTGATCTAGCATTTTGTACACATACTCATGTTTCATGGAAAATCCAAACAGGCATTTGACTATAATCAAAGCTGTCATGCAAGAAAACACAATAGACATGAAAAAAATAAAAGGCAAAACAACAAGTAAAAATTATTCAGAAAAAAATGACAGAATAAACATAAACCTCACTAATATTATGCACAATTTTTTCTAACATGTATTAATGTTACATTCCATTTCTCAAAAAAAAAAAGAGTCTAAATTTAGTGGAACATCTTATTAATGTTGTATTTAACGATATCTATATCCATTATTATGTTTTATGACTTTTATTATATTCCTATAATTGTTACTTTCAAACTTGAACTCACAAATATGGCTGTACTTTGTCTGATACAATACCAACATACATTACATTCACTCTTAAACACCTCATCAATCATGCATTGTTTCTTCATAAAAACTAGAGATCCAATCTTTAAGCTTCTAAAATTACTACTTAAGAAATTTATTATATATTAATCTAGCTAATATTATAAATTACAGAAACATGTACAAACTTATGTCTTATTTAGCATGTGGCAAGTTCCAGCTAGACATCCTTGGACTAGTAGTACAATTGGTGTAAACATATGACCACTAGCGCATCTGGTCTATTTTTTCTACCCATTTTAATCTACCATAGCATTTGGGGGTGACCATGCTAAAGAAAGTGTGCTTAACAGCTAGAGTTGGGGGTGGCTTATAAACCAAATGTGACCAGAAAGGAATAATTTAAAATAAGTTAGCACAGAATTTAGAAATACCAGAAATCTGTACTGTGCTTGGATTAGCATCAGAGTATTCAAGATCAGAAAAAAGAATGATTTTTATATCCTATATTGAATGTGTTAATTATGCAATCTATACAAGAGTCAATGACTACATTGTTGTAAACGACTCACCCAGTACAACTTTTAGTGGAGTTGAATGAAATGATAACCATGGAAATGGAATGGTTAGGTTTGTATTAGATTACGTAAGGCAAGGATAAAGACGGTTATACATAATCCATAGCTATTATATTAATTTATAAGATCAATTTACATAATATTCTTTTTGAAACTATATGAACAGTAGGAAAACTGTCTGTGTTAAACATATTAGCTAAAAAAAATTGTACTTACCACAAAATTGGAAATGATGCCAAGTGCAACCTGTTTCAATCCATTATACCTACATAGGTGACCTTGTTAAAGTGAGGGGCTTGGAAGAGAACAAACCCAAGGTAACTGAGAAAATATAGGATTGGAAAGTTACCAAGCAATAGCTTAGTAGCTTTCATACTATTTATTTATTTAAATACACAAGTGCTTGGACTAGCAGTGGAATATATAAGTTCAGGAAAGAGGAACATTATTTACATTCTTCAGTGACTGTTAACTTTGTAATGTACACAGAGCTATGGTATGGTATTATGTGATCTTTATAGAACTATTGTATTTTAAAATTACAAATGCACAATGAATTTAAACAAAGAAAAAATTATATGCACTAAAAAATAATTAGTTGTATGATTTGAACAACTGGTTTGTTATGAAATTCGCGCAAAGCTACACGAGGGCTATCTGTGCTAGCTGTCCCTAATTTAGAGGGACTAGACTAGAGGGAAGGCAGCTAGTCATCACCACCCACTGCCAACTCTTGGGCTACTCTTTTACCAACAAATAGTGGGATTGACTGTCACATTATAATGCCCCCACGGCTGAAAGGGCGAGCATGTTTGGTGGGATGGGAATTTGAACCTGCGACCCTCAGATTGAGAGTCAAGCGCCCTAAACACCTGGCCATGCCGGGCCTTGAACAATTGGAAGCTTGCAGTATTGTCAATAATAGAGAGACTGGAACCAACATACCAATGAAAGATGTCTTGTGCAATGTTCTTTTCAATAGTATTATGAGAGAATACACACAATTCAAAACTCTTTTTGTGGAACTCCCTGCAATACTGAAACTAAATCTCAAAAGGGATTTATGCAATATTTAGTATAATAGTAATACAAAGTTTATAAAGTACTAAGATTTTCTATAGCTCTACTCCTTGTGATGCCAAACAACTGATGAACAATAGTAAAATTGGGAGATATCTCAAAAAAGTTGTTAATCTGTGATGCCAAAACATTACTGCAGAAGTCATAAAACTTGGCAAGAGCAACAGTATTGCATTTTTACAAAAGAAAAAAAGTTGGTATGTTATTCTGCAACACTGAAAGTATTGCACAAAACTTTGCAAGGATACATTTACTGCTCCTGGCAACAACCACTGGATATGTTGCATAACTCAAAAGTGTCTTCTGTATTGCTTCTTGTTATAATGATCTTTCTCAAGAATATTGCATCTGACATTGAACTGTGAGCTCTTATAAAGAAAAAAACTACATGGAGAATGATCTTACTTAAAAACTATGTCTGAATCACATCATTACTCGAACCACCAGCAATATTATGGTGCTTCTATTTCAGGCCAAATATATATATGTAAACAAAAATATATATTTATACACAAATGAAAAAACACAAGTCTATTTCACTCATAAGAAATTTGTTTACTACTCATACTGAATTTATAGCAAACAAGCATTTAAATATCAAGTCTTAAAAGTTTTTTGAATTATACAATTAATTTAAAAAGTCAAAATTTATCATCTAAAATCAAAATTTCCATCACACTATCCACAGAAGTACCGATACTATAGACATAACTGACAATATTTAAAAAAAGACATTGAGGTAGATAGAAATGTCTGTTAGGCAGTTTTCCAACAATTTAAAGGAAAAGGTAATGAAGCCAACAAAAATTATCTACATAAAGTTCCTTCTCTATAGCTATTTTAATAAAAATCAAAATTATTTTATATTATACAGTACTCAATATTAAAGCCTAATCCTCTTGCACTAAAACCTTTTGACCAAAATTATCCATTTATGTCAATTAATTGAAACTTTTCATACTGCTTAATAAGTAGAAACAACATACTACTGAAGAGAATATGAAAAAAAGCATGATACATTAAATAACAGTTGAGATTTACTTATTCAATAAAAGAATCTCTCATACATCTAATATTAATGTGAGGTTGACAGAAGATTAAATTGTATTACATCAGCTTTTTCATGTAGCTAGTCATTTAAGATTTTAATACAAACAATGGTGTAAGTTAGAAATGTAACAAAATGGTCATGAATAAAATGGAAAAGAAGAAAAAATCCAATACAATGATTTTCCTTAACCAGCCATTTTTTCAATTTTTTTTTTTAACTGTTTATAAAATTCAAAACAGTTGTACCGATTTAAAAGAAAAATGTAATTTAATGTTTTTAATATTTGTGACAAAGAAATGTAGCTGAAAGTTTCTGAATACTTGCGATATTTTCAGGAATTAAATGATGTACAGTAGTTTACTGTCATATGTTGCTAAGCACAACAGACATAAGTACATGTTGTAAAAAGCCAAACTGACTTATCTTAGATAAAATAGTTTCAAACTTAACATACATTGTAAAATTAGCCATTGCTCACACTCGTATGAGTTAGTTCTGGAATTGATAAATGAACAATATATTTTTAAATCAATAAAGAAGTAGCACTACTTTTATTTTTACACTATGAATATACAGTGTGTTGTTGGTAAACTAACAGTAGATGAATATGGGTGTGAGTGTTAAAAGGTAAAACCTGAACGATAAGGAATGTTGGAGCTTCTTTAACATAAAAATTACATCGCTAAGGACAGCTTTCATGGAACTACAAATACTGTATCAACACTGGTCATCATTAAGAACTTTAAATTGTTGAGCTGGATGTACATATAGTTATAATGATTTTACACCAAAAGAATAAAGTCAAACCTCTCATTCGTTTGTTTTTTTTTTAAACTAGTTTTACTCTCGCAAAAATTCACAAAAACAAAGTGTCTTAAAATTCTAAGAAAGGCAATAAATATTTACTGAGATGGGCATATACATTGGAAAAGGTTAAAATAAGTCACAAACATATTATTCCTTAATGCAATTATTAGAAATCACAACTGTGTAAATGACCATTTGGTATCTTTGCAAGTCTTTGGATTCGCTGTTGATGGGCTTGAAACAATACACAGTTAATATTATAGTAATGGGGGTTTTCTGATGCACTAAGCTCTGGTCTGTACATTGGTTCATTGAAGTTTTTGACTATTGTTACACCATTTATCAAAATGGGAGCTGAAACCCCATATTCAATAGTGTCTTTAAGATCTGTACTATTCTTGGCAGCATGTTGAAAACAGACATTGGCTCCACTAACATAACCATTGCTTGTTGAGGGTCCAGCAGTAGGGTTTGAGCTAGAAGATGCCTAAGTATATGAAAGAATTGCAAAAATATAGTGTTTCATGCTACAACAAGCCACTGTGCACTTAAATTAAAATAATAATATCATATATACATTACAAAATAGTTTTAGCTAGGTTTCTACACGAAGTTCAACCATACATTATTCCACTTCTCCTTGTGAAGTTTGAATAACCGTAATAGAATTAGTTTTGTAGCAACAACCCAAAGGCCACTGGTTAGGAGCCAACCAGTTTGTGTTTTATCTTAACAAACAAGTACTGATGGTGACATATTATTAGGCAAACAATATTGTATCTGGCTGGTTGCTCATCAAACAAAGCTTGTGTGTGTGTTTATGATAACAATGACCAATTCAATTAACTTGGTTTAAAACAAGATTAGACAGACATTCACTTAGCAAGAAATTTTACCTGTGAACAGCTTCTTTATAAATCGTTACATAATATGAGAACTTTTGCAGAATAATTAATACTATCAATATATTAACCAGTTCTTTCCACAAGTATTCCACAAAACAGGAATTTTTGAAAGTGTCCAAAAAAGGCAAGATATAAAGAATTTAAAATGATTACTCATTTGTCTGTTTGTACAAATAACCCAATACTTTTAACAAAAATATGTGTGTATGTTGAAGCTTGAAATAATTTTGGGTATAGTGTTGAATTTTTTCAATTACATATGCACATCAGAACTTGAAACTAAGCCAAAAAGATGCTTGTGAAACAGGCAGTAAACATATCTCAAAAAAAAAAAAAAAGAGAAACTTTCTTAGCTTTCAACTACAGGCCTTTTTTTATAGTGATGAAAGTTAATGACTTAAGAAATTAGTTTATATTTTACATATTTCACAGTATAGGGCTGTAGGATGAAATAGTTAGAAAATGAATAATTTACTAAACATTTCTCTCCAATGTATTTTATAAAACAAGCCTGCAGTGACTTTACAACTTAAGACAGGATTTTGTTGTTGCTGTTTTTAACTGCACTTTTTAACTTGAGCTACGTGTACATGGAAGTACTGTAAACAAATAGAAAGAAGCTTTTACTTCAGGTACTTTTGTACAGTTGATTTGGGAAAAGAATTGAAACAAAACCACAGTATCTAGCCTAGAAAGATACTCCAAGGAAATGATTAAAAGTTCTCATGCTACAGCAAAATTAAAAATTAGCTGATATAGGCTATTTTATATAAGATAATTGAATCTAATACATCTGAAATAATGCATCTATGTACATACAATTTCCCAAATATTAAATTGATGTTGAAAGTCTCAAAGACAGGGCTGGATTAAGGTTTAGTGGGGCACTAGGTTCATGTAATATTTGGAAATAATTGTGATAATAACTCACTCTTGCCTAGGTTCTGCTAATTTTAGGAACCATCATTTTTTTACTTGTGGGGCCCGGGCTTAGATGGCCTATGCATTAATCCAGTACTGCTCATAGATGATAATAACTTAGTAAATTCTGAACTGTTTATTAATTTCATTATGGCCTCAAAATAGATGAAACAGTTAATTTTCATGTACTTTTGTACACTATTTCTGCTTGTGAAATAAACTGTAAATCAATAATGAAATCCTAATGTCTTCTCAAATGTTACGTAAATACACACACATGCAATTATCAGAACGATTATACTGAAAAACTACACAGCAACATACAAGCTGGGAAGTGAACAAGTTTTTGACCTTCAAAACTGATCTCCTATCACAAAATATCACAATGAAAAAAAAAAATTCTTTCACCAGTGACAGCAAAGGCTAACATTTTAAGAAGAGAAATTTTATAACAGAAGTTGCTAATTTGCTTTTTACCATTTGACTGCTGGGCCTGACAATGATACTGCAGTTTACATGGGACATAATGCCATTCTATGCAGAATCATGGATCAGAAATGTTACAAGATTAACTTTGAAAAGCAAAAAAACGTATGTGTATTGAATACACTATTTATTCTTTGTTTGTTTTGAATTTCGTGCAAAGCTACACGAGGGCTATCTGTTTTGAATTCGATGACGAGGAACCAACTTTGAGACAAATAATGGTTGAAGACGGCTTGAATGGATAATGAAGAAAAACTTTAATAAAAGTTTAACATAAAAGCAAATGTACAACGTTTCGACAAGGTTTTGTCATCATCAGAGCTATCTGTGTTAACCATCTCTAATTTAGCAGTGAGAAACTAGAGGGAAGGCAGCTAGTCATCACCGCCAACTCTTGGGCTACTCTTTTACCAACGAATAGTGGGATTGACCATCACATTATAATGCCCCCACAGCTAAAAGGGTGAGCATGTTTGGTGGAATGGGACCCCGCGACACTCAGATTGCGAGTCGAGCTCCCTAACCACCTGGCCATGCCGGTCCATTTTATTCTTCATAAAAACGTATAATATCAAATGTTCTATGTTAATAGCATCACTGTTTTTATAACTCAATAATAAAAATGGGTGTTTTTACAGACAAACATCAAAACAAATAAATACACAAAATTATTTTCAACAATTTGTGTTAATTCCAGTTAAATTGTTGAAAATAGATTCCTGTCTGATAGCAAAGCTTACTAAGTTTTATGCTTGAGGGGGAAAAACAAAAGCTTTAAATTTTTTATTAATTTAGTTTTGTGGATACACTAAAATATATCAGAAATTTTGGTTAAAGATCATCTTGTTCAAATGAACCTGCTTATAATTCAAATATTCT